ACCATCTCTTTATAAAAGCCTTTCCTGAATTCTGAGAGAAGGTTAAATGCTCCTAATCTTTACCACAATTTTTCCTTACACTTCTATAATTGCACTGAGCATACTGAGGTGTGATTATTCGTACATGATGCTAATTCATCAACCAGTCCATGGGTTACCTGCAGGCAGAAAACATATTCTGTTTCCATATTTCCAGTACCTAACATCGAGCATTTAGGCTGGCACATAGAAGCTGAATACATATTTATCAACCAACTGAATGAATTTTCTAGCATAATAATTATATATAATAGCTACTAAATAAGCATTTATGGAATTTAACTTAAACAGTCAAAGAATGTAAATAGCTACCCACAAAAGAGCATAAGAGTTAAAAAATACAGGACGAAGGTGAGATTAGAGTGGAAAAGAATAAATGGGCAAATTTCACAGAGGTTCAATCCTGCCTTTGGATCCTTCCCTGGATCCTTGCTCCCAACTCCATTTAAGGTATCTTAGGTTTTATTTAAAAATCTAGAGTAAGTTTTCTCCCTTCCTTCTTCTCTCCCTCCTGCCCTTCCTTCCTTTTCTAAATTTTAACAGACTTTTGTTTTATCAGATACTGGATCTCGCTTTGTCACCCAGGCTAGAGTACAGTGATACAATCATGGCTTGATGCAACCTTAAACTCCTAGGCTCGAGGAATTCGTCTGCTTCAGATGCCTGAGTATCTGGGACTACAGATGTGCCCTACCATGCCCAGCTAATTTTTTTTTTCTTTTTCTGTTTTTTTTGTTTGTTTGTTTGTTCTGTAAGAATGGAGATCTCACTATGTTGCCGGGCTGGTCTTGAACTCCTGACCTCTAGAGATCCTCCTGGCTTGGCCTTCTAAAGTACTGGGATTACAGGCGTGAAGCTACCACACCTGGCCTAAACAAACTTTAAGGCTCTAATTATGCATATCTTATACTTGGGAATCTTTTCAGTTTCTGCGTTTCCTTTCAATGCATAGAAAAAATAAACTCATCTGCAAAGCTGCTAAGCTAGTTTGCTTCTCAGCCCTCCAATGGAACTCTTACATGAACATGAAGCCCCAGGCAATCATCCTCCCAAGCTGTCACAATACTGTACTTAGAAGCCAAGGTAAGGAGGCCCTGTTCTGATTGCTGACACATCTATCATCAGCTGTCATGTAGGCACAGGCAACTGCAGGCATGGGGAACTGTGATACAAAGGTATGGAAGAGAGAGAATAGGCTCAGTTCAGGAAATTGAAATTAATGCAATGTGGCCAGCATGTAGAGGTCTGATTTTAGTTGCAGCAAGAACCTAGGGAGGTGAACAAGCACTGCATCACGAAAAGCATTTATGTGTCAGACTCAGGAAGATGGACTTATGTCTTGAATGCTTTTACAAGAAAACCCTTAAAATCACATTATCTTTTACAAAATCATAATTTCTTATTCAAAAATGATACATTTTAATGTAGAACTTTTTTACAGAAATGTGCAAAGAAAATCATTCTTAATTTAACCACCTGGAGATAACTATTTTAAACATTCTGGCATATATTTTTCAACCTTTTTTCTCTATGCATATAACCAGGAATGCATATTAAAAAGGAAACAAGGGCTGAGCACAGTGGCTCATGCCTGTAATCCCAACACTTTGGAAGGCTGAGGCGCACGGATGATGTGGTCAAGAAATCAAGACCATCCTGGCCAACATGGTGAAAACGCATCTCTACTGAAAATACAAAAATTAGCTGGGTGTGGTGGCGCTTGTGACCCAGCTACTTGGGAGGCTGAGGCAGGGGAATGCTTGAACCCAGGAAGTGGAGCTTGCAGTGAGCCAAGATCCACCATTGCACTCCAGCCTGGGTGAAGGAGCAAGACTCTGTCTCAAAAAAAAAAAAAAAAAAAAAAAAAAAAAAAGAAAAAGAAAAAAGGAAAAAAGAAAACAAGGCAGGCACAGTGGCGCGAGCCTATAGTCCCAGCTAGTCAGGAGGCTCAGGCGGCAGGATTGCTTGGGTTTGAGCGGGAGTACAGTCATCTCCCATAAACACTGCCACTTTAATTTCAGCTCTCTTTTTAGCCTCGTACATTTTGAGGAAATCACTTCTCTTCTAACTACAAGCAGCTGGAAAGAACAGACAGTAAAACACAAGACAGCGCAGGCACAAAGGGAGGTGGGGGGAAAGTTTCTTGGATAACTGCCAAACTTCACCCTCATGCAATGGACCCCAGGAAAACAGTGGGCTTTAATAAGCACATTCCTTTCTCTTCAGGTGCACCAAGATAGGAAAGCTAAAAGCAGACTCGGGGGTATGCCTGCAGCTGCAGGAAGATGTATGGGAACAGATATACAACTCTCCCTCCCAGGTAAGCACCACAAAGAGGCACCAAAGCTGTCCAAGCCTCTGATAAAGTCTCCCACCCTAAATCCTTAAAAACTTTTTGTCTGTAAGAGAGTGTGCCCCTAACCTAACCAGCCAGAAGCTCCTCTCAGGTTTGTTTTCTCTAAAATAAACCTGTCCTGGACTTCCAAGTCACCTTTTCTGTTCTTCCTCTTGAATTCTTATATCTCGGAGTTCGAGGCCAGTAACATAGTGAGATCTTGTCTCTTAAAAAAAAAAAAAGTGCAAACAAACAACAAAAGTGTAACCATTTCTCTGAGTCAATAAAAAATGTATGTTTTAAAAAAAGCTGGATAGTATATATATTTATTGCATCATAAGTTGCCTTTTCATGAAGACTTCAATCAGTTGCTTTCTAGAATATAAATGAAGGGCTGCACAGGATCTATTATATAAATGTATCATAGGATATTTAACTCCTAATTGTTGGGCATTTATGTTGTTTTAGATGTTTTTGTTACTCTAAATAACACCTTGATGCATAGTTTTGTACACTAATTTTTTTTAAGAGATAGGGTCTCACTATGTTGCCCAGACTGGAGGGCAGTGGCTATTCACAGGTGCAATCATAGAGCACTGCTGCCTTGAACTCCTGGGCTCAGGCAATCCTCCTGCCTCAGCCTCCTGAGTAGCTAGGACTACAGGCATGTACCACTTCCCCCAGATTATACTAATTTTTATATGTTTATTTAATTACATACTTAAATCTAAAAGTGGAATTATTATACCAAATCTACAAAAATAAGATTTTTAAACATTTTTTATGTAGATTACTTTTTTAAAGTGTATATTCCCACTATCCCTACTTAAGAATGCCTTCTTCTCAGCTCTTTTATCCACACTGGATGTCCTTTTACTTTTAAAATATTTACATCTTAGTTTGTTAATTTGATTTTTTTTGTTGTTGTTGTTTACTAATGAGATTGAACTTTTTTCATGTATTTACTGGCAGTTTGTATTTCCTTTTTTGGGGGTGAAATTCTGTATTCATGTCCTTTGCTAATTTTTATTTTTTGGTCATCAGCTTGCCTTTTCATATTGCTTATGTATTTACTTTAATATAATTATCTCTGTAAAAGTATTTATGTAGCCAAGTCTACCAATCTTTTTCTTTATGGTTATTTTCTTTGCTGTTGTGCTTCTTAGAAAACTCCTCCCATTTTGAGATCAATTTATTTATTTATTTATTTATTTTTAAAAAGCACTCCTCTACTAGCTCTTTTATGGTTTTATTACTTTGGGATTTTGTTTTGACAATTATTGTGAGACAGAGTTCTGATTCTTTCTGCCCATAGTGCAGCTAATCAGTAAGAACACAATTTACTGAATACTGTAATTCATCCACTGATTCAGATGCTACCCTTATCATAACTGTTCTTTTCATTTTCCTTGGATTTCATCTACTGAGGGTTATAGGAATAGGGGCGTGTGGGAGAGTGAAAAGCACCACAGAAATAGTGCCACCAAAAGCGTGAAAATTTGGACCAGGCAGTGGGAGAGCAGAAAAGGAATTGTGCCTGTGACAAAGATTATTTGCTTGGCCAAACTTTATTATGGGTTCTGAATCTTCTGCTAGGTCCATCTGTGCACTTCTTTGTAAAAATCCAGTTTTAGCAAAGAACCCCCTTTCCTCCATATCTGATCAGTTTCCTCACTCTCCACCATCCCACAGGTGATATCCTGTCTTCAGGAGGAGTCCTGTTAGGTCACTTTCACCAAATGCCCCTTACCTCTGATGTTTCCTCTTAGTAATTTTCTGTCCACTGAACTCCATGCTGCTCATTGGTTATAAATTCCACTTGCCCATGTTGTATTAAGAGTTGAACCCAGTCACTCTTCCCCACTGTAAGAGCTAGTTGCAGTGGTCCCTATGCCAATTGAGACAGTCCTCAGTAGTCTTCGTTCTGTGCTTTAACAAGTATCAATGAATAATTTTGTCTTCAACACCTCTTCACATTACGGTCACAGCTATAGATTGTTAACTTAGTAGGGGATTAACTCAACATGTAATTTCCAAGCTATAGTTGCTCATTAAAATATATAAGTGGAAAAATTTAAAAAGCAGGAAAGGAAAGCATTATATTCCCCAAGTAACGTTGAGTCTATGCATCTGATTCCACATTTTCGATGAGCCAGCTGTCACATGGACTACTGTCCCTTAAACAGCACTTACGTATGTGACTTAGAAGTTCAGATCAGGCCGTGTCTTCGAGGATATTTCGTTTCGAGAAAATGAAACTATTTTTAAATGTAGTGCTCGTAACTGGTGCGGTAACCACTACACAAACAGCATTCTCCCGGCGTTTTTATACTAACATATGCCTCAGCAGGGAAGGCAGTTGCTACTGGGGGAAATAGCCTTCAACTGTGTTTTTCGCAACTGATTCCTCTTTTTTGCTGTTGTAAAGAGCCGTTAAACATCGGGAACAGTAGCCTGGTGACCGCAACAGAAAATTATTTTGTACTTTCAAGGTGGTTTGCATGCGTGGTGAGATACAAGTGGGAAGACCGGGCCTCAAGCCAGGTCTTTCTTCCTGGGGGTTCCCGGGAGCGCCGTGGGCTGCGAGTCCCCCGCCTGCCGGGAGGAGGCGCGCTCTGCCTGGAAACGCCCCAGCGCGGCCCGCGCCCAGAAACCCGTCGCGGTGACGCAGCGAGAGCCCGGGAGGAGGCGCGGGAACGCGCGCCTGAAGTAGAGTGCCGGAAGAGGAAAGCTCTTGCTGGAGCCGGGAGTGCGGCTGGGCTCACGCCGGCGGCTACGGAGCTGGCAGGTGCGAGGCGTCTGCACCTGGCGGGCGATGGCGTCCGGTGCTGGCGCCCCGGGGTAGCTCGGGCGAGGCTGTGGGTCCCTGGCGCACACGCCCGCACCCCTCCCTGGCCTTGGCGAGGGCCCTGCCCGGCCCAGGCAGCAATGGGGCTCCTGCAGCTGCTGGTCCTAGCGGTACTGGCATCGGAACGCCGGGTGGCTGGTGCAGCCGAGGTCTTCGCGAACTTCAGCGAGGGTAATGTCGGGGCGCCTGGCTTCTGCAGCCCAAAGTTGCTTTTGCATTTCTTGCAAGGTCAAAATCCGCCCGAGGTCTGTCAACCTAGCAGGGAGATGGTACTGGGGGCGTTGGTACACCCCAGATGGTGAGTTCAGAACCGGTACTCATGGACCAGAGTTCTTTCCTGCAGTGGAAACACCCATGGCTAAGCAGGCCTTATTGTCAACCTTCTCATTTAGGCGGAGGAAATGGGAAGAGAGAAATAATTCTCTCTCTTTTTTTAAACACAGTATTATCTCCCTTGGGGAGCAGCCATGTTTGTGGCTTTAATGTAACTTACTAAAGCGCCCCTTTGCTCCCGAGTGGAATGTCTTAGCTTCTGGACAGCCAGACTTTGGGTGGAACTAAGGGCTTAATGACTGATGGTTCTCAAGCTGCATGGAGCTTTTACATCCCCACATCTAGAGGCTTTTCAAATTCGTTATGTTCTGTAGAGTTTGAGAGGAAAAATGAACCCAGAATCGGGCTTTATTTATTTTTAAAGAGCCTTTACCATCTAATGTATTATTAATGCCATCTGGAGACAGGAAAACATTCCATAATCGCAATGAGAAATGGACTTTCTGAATTACGCATACATAGAAATACAGATAGTGTATAGCCTCAATTCTACAATTTCAGCCACAAATGCAAAATAAACACAGAAGCACAAAAGCTTGCCAGTCCAGGTATCAGAGTTATTCTCCTTACTTGAGGGCAAGAAATTTCTAATTGATTTGATCTCAAAAAAGACAAATGTACAAAAACCAACTATGTTGTCTGTTGTCTCATATCCAACAAGAAATAGATCTCTGTGAGAGATCACAAAATTCTCAATCATTGCAGCTACCAACAGGAAATAACTTGTCATCCATAAATGAACTGTAAAGAATAACAGTTTAATAGAGACTAAAACTAAAATGAGAAAAACAAGAATCAACAAAGTTCTATTGCCACTTCAAATTCACCTGTGGGAGCCAAGAAGAATCATGCCTGGGCTTGGCTTCCTGTGAGTACACCATTTTTGTTGATATCAGGTGACTCTTGCTCATCTCAGTGAGAACTCAGAATGAGATATTAGAGTGTAGGTCTTGTGCTTGGTGAATGGGTTTTGGCAACAGCTCACGGTTTGTTAATGTAAAATGTAAAAAGCGGCTGTGTCTGGTGGCTCACGCCTGCAATCTCAGCAGTTTGGGAGACCGAGGTGGGCAGATCACCTGAGATCAGGAGTTCCAGGCTAGCCTGACCAATATGGTGAAACCCCGTCTGTACTAAAAATACAAAAAATTAGCTGGGCATGGTGCCGGGTGCCTGTTACCCCAGCTGCTAGAGAGGCTGAGGCAGGAGAATCGCTTGAACCCAGGAGGCAGAGGTTGCAGTGAGCCGAGATCGCTCACTGCGCTCCAGCATGAGTGCGATAGAGCAAGACTCTGTCCAAAAAAAAAAAAAAAAAAAAGTAAAGGCACTAGTTATGCCAGGCAGATCATCATGTGCTTTTCCATGAAGTTAAGCACATTCTATTTTGTTTTGAGGTTAATAGACTAGTTGCAGTTCTGAAACATATTTTCTGAATAATGTGATTGTATTCCTATGTGCTTATCTTTGAAAAGCCTTTGTGCAAACTGAATCGTAGGATCTTTGTATAGGACTGAGGCCAAAGCTGAAAAGGACAATTTTTTTTATTTTTTATTTTTATTTTTGGCAGAAAAGCCTTGCTTATAATAGGGCACTAACATTCACTGCATATAGTGTGTGCCAGGTGCTTTCCATGTGCAGTGTTATTTAATCTCCAGAACCCTGCAATTTAATGACCTTCCTCACTTGTCAGAGGAACAAATGAACAGCTACTAGGGTCACAGATAGGATTTGAACCCAGGTGTGTCCCCCTGCAAATTTCATAGTCCTTCCACTTCAGTGAAGCTGCCTTTCAATAATATCTTACATAGCAAGGTGTTTTGTACTTAATCCTTCTGTGCATCCTCATTCCTCAAAATAGTCTCATGATGGAGGTAGAAGAGATGCTATCTCCATTTTAACAGGTGAAGAATTCGAGATATTAGAGTTTGTAGTTGATCTAGGCTATCCCCTGAGTCAGAAGAGCAGGGATCCAGATCTTTTTCTTTCTAGTTTGGTGCTTTAGTATTTAATACCTAGAAATTTTTATACAAAAGTTAAATTTTAATATGAATAAGTGGAGAAATTATTTTTTTCAGACACTGTTTTTAGCCTCTTTGCTATGGTTATAGCACTGATATTCCTCAATGTTGTTCTTTTTGCCTTGCATTAATATTGTCATTCTGTGCAGATGGACAATGTGGGACTTAACTGCTGAGTGATAGTAGAAGCAGATATTCTCTGTATCTGTCAGATACAAATCAATATGGCAAGGTAGAAGGGTGTAGTTCAGGATTTGTATAATCCTCCTAGAAAATGGCTGATCGAATTGCTGTTTGATGACTCTGATAACCACACAAACTGAAGAAACTGAGCAACTGCTGTAATTTAGGAGGATTTACCCATCTTTAGCAGGATGAGCTAATTTGCATGACTTGGGTAGTAGCTTGAATGCTAAATAAAACTTGGAAGGTGGCAGATGGAGTTCCTACAATGTCTGAGGAGGGTGCTTTTTGTGACCAGTAGGCACATGAGATGGATCATACTTTTAAGCAGTTTTCCCTTCTCTTGGAGTCCCAGTTTACTGCTACCCTTAAGTAATTGAGCACAACACCATTTGGGCCTTGCAGTCTTTGTGCTATTGATGGTGCTTTACACAATATACCAAGCCATTTGTGGTTAGTTGCAAGTGCTGTCTTTCTCTAAAAGGTATATGAAGCTAATATGCTTATTTTTGTGTTTCCTTTAAACTTTTAAGGCTATTGAACATTCGTAAGAAGGTAACAATGAGAAATTGGAAGGGGCAGTTGACTTCTGACCAACTCAAGTATCTGAACCATTTTTGTTTTTAATCTGAAGAGAATTATGAAGACTAGGCTATGATAGATTTCTCTTAGAATTTGGTTGTTGTGTTAAAACACAAACAATAGAAGTAAATTTTAGTAAAATAGTAAAAAGTATGAGTTGGAAATTTTTATGGTTGCCAGATTAGGATCTGATTGGGAAAGATAAAGGAAAAGATTAGGATTGAGCAGCCCTTTTTAAGTGGAACTATGGGAAAGAAAAAATGATTCTGGGTAAGAATAGAAGATAAGTATGAAAAATCATTTCAAGTCCCTTCTATAGGTTAGATGGCAAAAAAAAAAAAAAATCTTTTTAAAGGAAAGCTAGTGTAAGTGCCACAACTTGATGTTAGCCATTTGCTTTGTTATATCTTTTGATGTGCTGTCTTTTTTCCTCCTACTCTCCAAGTCATAAGATCTAATTATGCCTCATAAAATGCTTCTAATAAATCCTTTTCCAGATGCCTTAGAAGTGAAGTTAAATTGCTGTTAACTTCTTTAGGATTCTTTTGGGTATGTGTCTTCTTTTGCTAAATCTCTTTTTATGAGCAGAAATTAAACGAGTTTCTACCAGACTGAGCTGTTTAAGTTGTCTTGACTTTCAGTACCCTTTGTTGTCACTCTGTGGAAGCCTTTCTCAACATAGTGCTTATGATGGTCCTGGAACTTCTGTGAATGCCTTGTACCTGTTAGTCCCTTTCTAACCGCTAATTAATTTGTAGGGCTGCTCTGAGTGCCTGATTCTCTTTCTTTTCTTTTAATAAGGAGATGAACCTCTGAAACACAGGAAGGCTAATGGAAGTTAATAAATGATACTTTATTGTGTAGCCTTGGGTAGTTTAAAAAATTGTTTCTCATTTGTTTGATACTTTCAGCAGCCAGCTGATGGCAGCACAGTTACCTCAATTTTACTTTGAGGGAACTGAGGCCCAGAGGAAATAAATTACTTGCCTGAGGTCACATAGTTCAACCAACATTTAACAAACATTTACTGTATGCCAATTAGGTGACTATACTGTGTTAGACGTTGGAACATCAAAGATGACAAAATCCTGCACAGCCAGGAATCAAACCACAACTAATTTGGTTAAAGCAGTCTCCTGAAAAAATTGTGCAATGGCTGTTGGATTGCCAAGGTTACACTGCCAAGTTATTTTCACACAGAAGTTAGGCTAAAGATAACTAAGACTGGGAAAAAATACATTTATCCTTTGCTTGTTCATCAAACATTACCTTAGGAGTTCTCAAACCTGGCTAAACATTGGAATTACATGGAGAACTTTTTATAAAAGGCATATTGGTAAAGAGACAGCTAGAAATAGAAATTTAAAAAGAAAAAGCAGGCCAGGCGTGACCTTTGGGACATTAAATTCCTGTTAACTTTGGGAGCACTTTGGGAGGCTAAGGTGGGCAGATTTCGAGGTCAAGAGATTGAGACCATTCTGGCCAAAATGGTGAAACCTTGTCTCTACTAAAAATACAAAAATTAGCTGGGTGTGATGGCACGTGCCTGTAGTCCCAACTACTCAGGAGGCTGAGGCAGGAGAATTGCCTGCACCTGGGAGGCGGAGGTTGCAGTGAGCCGAGATCGGCTGCAGTGCAAGACTCCATCTTAAAAAAAAAAAAAAAAAAAAAAAAGGCTGTCGTTCAGTCTGTAATCCCAGCACTTTGGAAGATTGAGTGGGGGAGGATCTCTTGAGGCCAGGAGTTTGATACCATTCTGGTCAACAGAGTAAGACCCCGTCTCTATAAAAATTAAGAAATAAAATTAAGAGAAAAAGTAAATTTACAATAGCTCCAAGAAATATTACCTATTCCGGGATGATTATCATGGGATATGTAAAGATGTCTACAGAGAAAATGATATAATACATCCCAACATTCTTGAGATAAATTGAGAAACTAAAGAAATAGAGGAATATCTCAAATTCATAGATTAAAAAATTCTAAAGATAAAGATATTTTAAAGATATAATTTCTCCCTAAATTAATTCATATATTCAGGGCCATCCCAGTCAAAAT